AAAGGAGGGGGCATAGGGGAAGGAAAGAGGGTGGAATGCAATGGTCATCATTACCCGAAGTTCATGTATATGACTCTACTTTGTGTACAACCATGGGTATGAAAAATAGTGCTCTATATGTGTAATATGAATTGTAATAATTAAAATTTTAAAAAAAATTTTAAAAATAAGAGATGATCAATGAAAATAAATGAAGAAATGTCAACTCATAGAACCGAACCCTTCCTTAAAAGGCAAGGTTCACACATGCTCAGGCAATAACTCCTTCTTTAAAATTCTGCTTGGTGATTGTTAAGGGAGTTTTTGCTTGTTTGCTGTTTTGTGGCACTGAAGATTGATCCCAGAATCCTACACATGCTAATACGCAAGAGTTCTACCAGGAGAAGTTATACCCCAGCCCCTTTTTAAACTTCAATTGTAAAAGACATGCAAATTTAAGAAAACATACTGAACTCAGAACAATTAAAATGTGTGTTTGGGTAAGAAATCTTTAAACCAATAAAATGTCCTATATAAGAGGCAGAAAGCAAGCTTATAACTTACAATAATAATCTTAACTGCCTAGAAGGCTGGATTTTAACTACAAAAGGAAGAAATATAGTTTTTTGTGTAAAAGTGCATATGAGAATCCAGATCATCAGAAGGCTGTACATGTGCACGGGAATTACAATGCTGCCTGAATCATATTTATAATAGTTAGGGCACTTGATAAGATAAAGTCTTTCACAGACGGCGCAGAAAATGGGGTCCCATTTCTTTACTTTCACAGCAGAACAAGTTTCCTTTCAATTTCAACCTACTTTCTGATGATTTTAAATAGCTCTGCTATGATTCACTATTTAAGTTTGTAATTTAACTCTCGGGAGACAAAACTTTTTTTCAAGTTGCACCTCCTCCAGGTGATACATGGCACATGTATACAAATAAAACAAAGATTTCTTAAATATAACCTTACTGCATTTAATCACAGATTTCTAAAGTAAAAATTGAACTTATGATGATATAAAATATACCATGATCCATGAAGTTTGAAGATCAATAAAATCAGGACTAAGAATCTGCTAATATTTAATTCATTTTTTGGTTTGTTTTGAATTATTTTTGAAGATGTTCAATAAGGAAATCAAGACTCAATCAATACAATATTTATATCAGTCACTGAGTATAAAAGAAATTACTAGGTCCATAAATAAAACAATGAAACACATGAAAGAGGGAGAAAAGTAAATAAAAATAGGCAGTATCTGACTTGATATAAGGGCAATCTAATGTTGATGTTCACTGAGACATTTACACATTTTTTCCATCCTACCAAAATACCACTTCCATTAAGTAACGTTACCCAATCGTTCAGGATCCTTTCCTGCCACAAGTGCCCTGGGCCTCCTACCTGAAGCTCTGCTGAGCCAGCTTCCTAAGCCCTGACAATTTCCACTTAGCTACCCAATTTTCTTCTTTGGGTACTAGGATCTGGGTGTTCACAAACATACTATGAATTCTTCTTTTTTTTTTTTTAGTTGTAGAGAACACATACATTTATTTATTTACTTTTTATTTTTGTATGGTGTTGGGGATCGAACCCAGTGCCTCACACGTACTAGGCCAGCGCTCTACCACTGAGCCTCAACCTGGCCCGACATACTATACATTTTAAATAAGAAAGTTGTTGTGGGCTAATCTGAAAATCAAAATAATATTTAAATAATCAATTTAAATTTAATTGATTTTAATTATCAATTTAAAGTGAGAATGCATTTTTAAAACTCCTAATTACCAACTCTTTCTATTCAGAAATGTGTCTATAAACACATCCAAATTGAAAACAGCCCAACTACTCTCCTTATTGTGAATGTTTATAGACATTTAAATTAATACCCAATTCACAAATAAATTTCAAAATGTCAGGTCTAGCTACTTCAGGAAAGGCTATAGAAAGATATAAGTTAATACCATTATGCTGAAAAAATTTCTTTTTTGAGAATTAATATAATTTAGAGGTCCAATCAATCTGACTGGGAATCAACATTTAGGAATTCAAATATGAAACTTTAAGCTTAGAGTCCAGAGATTCTTTGACTCACCTTGCTCTAAATTTCGTAATACTAGATACCTTGCTTAGACATTAAAGAGGCTAGTTTTCATACAGATTCAGCACTGCTATAAATGGTAGTCTAGGGGATCTGCCCTTAAAACAAAGTTTCCCCATAGTACAGAGGCATTTTACTAATCTGCCACCTTTCTATGACCCTCCAAATCAGTCCAGTAAAAGCTTCTTTTCTCTTCCATTACTCATACAAAGCCATCATCCAAGGGTTAGTTTTAAAACTTCAAGAACTACATATAAATTTTACGGAACAAGCGAATGTTTATATAGTTTAATATTAATAAAAAATTTTAAAGATTCAAGCCTCACTACATTAAGAATGGCTGAAACTTCATTAATTTTTCTCATGTTGTTTAGTAATTTTAGATTTTGGAAAACTACTAAATACTTAAAACTTTAACCTTTGGTTTACAGTATCCCCAAGCAGAAAGTTATATATGGGTTCTTTGAGACACCAATCTAGAAGAAAATTTAATGACTTGAACACAGAAAATTTGAAAATTAAAAAACTGTTAAATACCAACACCTAAGAAGACTGTATTCTAGATTTACAGAAAGAAAGTGTGCAAATACTTTATTGTACTTTTTCAATTCAAGGCTTAAACTTTAAGTATGTTTAAGTATGTTTATTGATTGCTGAGTATTGAATCCCAAGCTGACCTCAGGCATACTAGGTAAATGCTCTACCATTAAGCTACACCCTCAACCCAGACACTTGTAGTAAACTTAATTATGGAGTGTAATGAAAGGATAATGGAGCAAGTATTGGAAACTGTTGAGAGCCACAGCCGAAAGGGGCCCCAGCAAACTTCCAGCTGCCAGCTGATGATTGGCTCACAGCGGCCACAGCAAACTTCTAGCTGCCAACTGATTGGCTCCTCTGCGGTGATGCTCATTGGGCTGTTTCCCCACCCTTCAGACCACTGAGCTGCTCATTGGGGGACTTTTTTTGGCTCTGCCCACACGACCCAGCCAATCAGCCTCAAGAGCAGGAGGAGTGGGGGAGGTTGAGGCTTGTGGGAAGCCGTGGTGGCAGTTGGGCTCTGAAGGTTTTTCCTGAGGAGCTGTTTTGTTGTGTGTGGTTCTAAAAATAAAGTTCGTTTCTTTTGACAAGTGGCTCCTGAATTGTGCCCAGCCAGACTGCGGCAGGAAACAAGCCCATTTTTAGCCTCAAAATATGAGTCTGAGTATTTTTTTCTTAAGAAACAGAATTTTAACTAATTATGCAAAATAGCCAATTCAATTTCATAATGTAAGAAGGTTAGGATATTACCAATAGGAACATTTACTACACAAAATAACTGTAAAAGCCATTTTCATTGGCAAATGAATGGGAAAGAGTATTCTACTGTCACCACTATAATAGTGTGGCTGGAACACTAACTTTGAGGTATGGCAGGTACCGATTCCTAAACAGTCTGCAAACACCAATCCAAAGTAATATGTTCATTTCAATGTTAAATTCTACCTTTCCCAAGATTTCAGTTACCTCAGAAATCTCCTGATTAGCAAACTGCTGGTACACTTACTATATTTTTCCTGTAATACCTTTAAATAACCAATAAATTTTAGCTCAGAGAAATCAGTGACTATTAAACTATAAGCTCCACCCCTAATTTATTCATTGTTGTAGTCCTACTTCCTAACACATACCTTATACATAATAGATGCTCAAAAGATACTAGTAGCATCCAGTCCAGCTTTCAACTGGCTTCACTGTTGATTAATATTCTATTGACTTATTTGAAACCAAATTTTAATCTAAAATTTTTCTTCTGAATTTTTTGGTTTATAAAATTTTGAGGGGAAGAACTTTCACTCTTGTCTTAGTCAATTTATTATAAAAAAATTACTTGATTTTTTCCCCAACGTTTATTCCAAAGTATGCCAAGACTATACGTAAGATCTCTCCTAGATACTAAATAAATAGCTAGGGATTTTGGTCCAGAAAGAATAGCACAGTCTAAAGCACCAGACCTAACTAAAGTGTCAGCTACCCTCAGGACTTGCAGAATAGAAATGTTTTGGGGACAAAGACAGAAACAGATGTAAATGTATGGCATAAGTGGAGTTCATCTCTATTTCATTCCTTTTTTTTTTCCATTTAGCCATCTATTTACTATACTTACAAACTTTTATTCTGTATTCCTAAATATGTATCCTTTGTTTATCATATACTTTAAATAATAAGAAAAAAGCTGCAATTTCATCCATGCATGCTTACTTTAGAAAATGGTCATTTCGAACACTACTTATTACCTAGGCTTGACCTGAAATATTTTATTTCAGTGTAGAAGTTCCCAAAAGAATTTTCTGGAGTAAGGAAACTAAGGGAGTCTTTGAGATTCTTTTTAGTTTTAGAAGGTAAAAAACGATTTTTATATTAACACTAAACCATCATTTGCCTTTTTCATTCCCATTGTCTCTGTAACAATGGAAGTATCCAGAAGACACTTGAAGTGCCATATCACAACAAACTGAATGCAGAAAAGATATTGAGAATTCTCTGTCATCAAGCCAGACATCACAGTTTTCAAAAATGTAAGATGTAAATGTCACTTTAGTCATTATTTTTTGTCTTAGAAAATTTACCTTTTTTCACTTAAAAATTATGTCAACATAATTACATTTAATGCTTGAATTAAGTAAGAAAATGTTAATTCTGTTAATTCCTAATATGCCAAACATTGACAGATATAACCTAGTAAACAAAAGCTCTCTAAAATTCTCAGCAATTTTTTGAGAGTGAGAAGGGTCCCTAAGAACAGCGCTTCAGAATGACTAATGGTCTAGCACAGGGCACAAGGGCCTTCCTACCATCTAAATTTTACTGAAAACACGAAATTTATAAAATGTAAGGTAATTCTATTTAAAATTATTAAGACAGTGGACTTACCATTATAGGTTATTCTTGGCTTTGTTAAACACATCACAAGGTGCAAATCCATTTCATCAGAGGGTACAAATTTTGAGCATACAGGGCACTTAAATCCTAAAAAATAAAAGAAACTCAAGTCACTTGACTATTCTTAATAATCCAACTATGATTTTTAAAAAGCATCTCAAACTTCAATATCACAATAATGTATTATAGTACTTGTGTACAATTTAGTGAGAAAAGTTTGTGACCATATTTAAATTAGTTTATTAAAATCATCCTATCATTAAAAAAAAGAAACAGGTTCAAATGAGAATTCTCACTCTTCCTAATGTTCTGATCCAGTAATTCTCATGTTTCTAATTTCTTGCATTAATCTATCGACACATATAATTTCATTTTATAGTAGCTTTCTAATACGACCATCTTAGTGAAAATTACCTTTCCCATCCTGAAAAAGTACACAAAGTCACAAGTTTTTACAGTCTCACAGGACCTTAGAAACTACTCAATAATTGTAGAACTTGTAAGGAAGAATGTGAAGGCTTTCAGAACAGCAAAAACAGCCTACAATCTAAGACTCCTCTCATTGACATCTACATTAGTAGTTGCTATGGTTTGGTTAGAATATAAGTAAGTCCCCCAAGATTTCCTGTGTTGGAAGTTTCATCCTCATGTGGTAAAGAGGGGATGGGACCCTAAAAAAGTGGGGCCTTGTGGGAGGTCTTTAGATCACTGGTGGCATGCCCTCAGAAGGGATTAAAATAGTTCTAATGGAATTCTAGGGTTATAAAAGTCTGAGCCTAACCTCTTACTGGCTCTCTAGCTTCCTCCTGTCTGATGATGTGATCCCTCCTGCCACTGTGAGGCCTTCACCAGAGCCACACTAATACCAGCCAGTACCATGCCCTTGACCTCCACAACTGTGGGCTAAAGAAACCTCTTTTCTAAAGTTACCAGACCCATATTTATAAAAATATGTCAAAATATACTCATGTACTTCTAAAAATAACAAATAACATGAAGAATAAATAAAGTTACTCAGTCTTGGGTATTTCATTATAATAACCAAAAAAACAGTAAAATTGGTCTTTTCACCATACTATTACTAAAGTCATAACACAAGTAACAACAGCATCAAGCCAGGACACATTTTTGTTGTCAATTTTGACAAATTAAATATTAGTTCGTCTCCCACAATTATTAGTTTGAACTACTAAATATTTGCCTGAAGTATTCCATTAAAAATAAACCTACTAAACGAGAGAATCGGTCATTAGTCAGTTTTATTCTACTACCTTACTTACCAAAGAAAACTGTCTCATCCCCTGATTCCTTACTGCTTAGGCAGTCATCATGTTTCCCTACTGTCTCACTATTCTCCTGACACTCTCCACCCCAACACTGTGAAACACTTGAGCAGAGCTGGAATATAATCCTAATTTGTAGTTTGGCTAGGGACAAATGAGGAATGAAACAGAGAGAGTCCCAAGAAAAACTGACTGAACCAGCCTAAGAAACAATGGGAGACTATACTAGTCAATAGTAAAAAGCAGTAGCAGAAAAGTCAGTAGGCAAGAGAGAGTGGGGTGTCTTTTATTGACTTGTGTGTAATATAAGGGAAAAGAAACTATAGGCAAGCATGGAAAAGGGTCCACATGGGAGATCCTGGAGCAAACACACAGAGGGAAGAAGGAGCAGCACTATTAGAGACAAGTAATATAACCAGTAGTGAAAGGGACATTCTGCAGCTCTCTGGGTTCAGGGACCATCTTCTTTCTATGGTGACGTGATAATGGCAACCAAATGAGTTAGACCACAATCATAATCTCATACAGAACTTTAGAAGGATTTGAGAAAAGGTTTTAGCATAGCTTCTCATCCAAGTATTCAATTTCAAAAATGAAATATATGATTTTGAACAACATTTTAAAAATCATATTAAGGGCTGAGGTTGTGGCTCAGTGGCAGAGTGCTTGCTTCACAAGTGTGAGGCACTAGGTTTGATCCTCAGTACCACATTAAAAAATAAATAAAAATAAAGATATTGTGTCCATATATAAAAATATTTTTAAAACCCCATATTAATTGCATTTGAAAAGAAATGTTTTACTTCAACTTCCTGAAAACCACCTTAATGAAAAGTGGGGGAGGAGGATTCATTTTTTAAAAAATCAAACTACAAAAAATTAGTAATTGCCTACCACACACTACATACAATGAAATAGATACAATGAAATTTGATCAACTTTGGGGAAGACAAAGAGGCCCTCAAAGCAGCAACTAAATTTCAAAGACCAACAATCTTTTTTCCTTGGAAATTTAAAAACTTGCTGCTTTTGAGGTTAAACAGGGTATAAAACAGGGACAAAGGTGAACTATGTTAGAACTACTGATCAGAATTATCTGAGTAATGGCACACAAACCCTAAATCATTAAATAAATGTACATTATAAAAAGCTTCACTGAGATCATCCAGCACCCCTACGGAGGAAAAACAGTATATACAAAAAAACTACTGGAATTTACAATGTGAATTTAAACATGTGTGTCTCTCCTCTCCCCCAAACACACTAAAATGACAAGAAATGAACAAATAAATAGGACTGAGAAAATGGATATCCTGTATGCTGAAAAAAGTAAATTCTCACTACAAAATTCTCAAAGGAGTCAGGAATCCATAGCTCCATAACTCTTCAAATGGTGATACAAACAGATCCTTAGGGCTGGGGCTGTAGTTCAGTGGTAAAGTGCTTGTTTACCACGCCTCACGGTGAGGCACTGGGTTTGATGCTCAGCATCACATAAAAATAAAGGTACTGTGTCTATCTACAAGTAAAAAAAAAAAAAAAAAAAAAAAAACACCCACAGATCTTCAGGCTCCCAATCCATGGCATCCAGGCAAGCAACTACCATTCTCTTACCAGAACAAGAGAACAGAGGTTTATTGTGGAAAAATGAACCAACAAAAATATATAACTGAGGATACCACACATGGCAATGGGCAGGAAGAAAAAGTAGCTCAATTGGTAGAGTGCTTGCCTTGCATGCACAAGGCCCTGAGTTCAATCCCTAGCAAAACACACACACACACACACACACACACAATCTGCCCACTGAAAAAAGTCCTTCTCTATCTCTACCCATTAATATGATAGATTCTTAAGTCAAATGAAACAAAGATTCTTGCCTATTGTAAGCCTTAGTCTTGCATATAAAACTTCCAATTAACTTTTTAAGGTCTTTCTCTATAGCACCATGCTAAATAAAGAGGAAAAGATTTATCATGGTGAAATTAATCAAAACCAAATTCAAATGACAAATGACAAAAATATTTGTAATATATATCAAAAACAAAAAGAGGCCAGGTGTGGTGGCACAGGCCTGTAATCCCAGCACCTTGAGAGGCTGAGTCAGGATCATGATATGTTCAAAGATAGCCTCAGCAAAAGCAAGGTGCTAATAAGCAACTTAGTGAGACCCTGTCTCTAAATAAAATACAAAATAGGGCTAGGGATGTGGCTCAGTGCCCCTTACTAATAAGTTCAATATCTAGTACATATATACACACACACCAAAACACTTAAAATTGAAGAAAATAAAAATCAAAACTGTTAGAAAAATGGGCAAAAGTTCTAAAAAGATATTTCACCAAAAATATATGCAAATGACACTTAAATGAAAAACTACACAGCACTTGATTAAAGAACAAAAAACAATTTCAAGTTCTTTGCATTTCTTTATTCTCATGTTAGTGACTTTAGGAGAGAGGAGAGAGAAACACAGATGTTTAACTCACTGTATTTAACTAGAAATCCAGGTGGTTCTCTGTAGACACAAGACAGCTTTCTAGACTTGGGCTCTACTTTACAGAGATTCCATTTCTCATTAGATTAGTGAAAACTCAAAAGTTTGATAATACACCATTGATGTGGCTATGAGTAAATAAGCATATGCTGCTGGCAGGATTATAAAATTGTACAATGTCTACAGAAAGGTAATTGGGCAATATCAATCAAAATTGTTTTTTCGTCTGATCTAGTTCTAAGAACCCACCAAGAAAGTAGAACCCCAACATTTAAAAAAAAAAAAGTAATTTACTGTGACACTATTTGAAATAGTACAATATTGGAAACAATTTAATTGATCACACATGAGATTTGGTGAATCTGGTATTTCCAAACAAGGAAATGTATGAAAAGAAATAAAGATCTCTATGAACTGAAATGGAGTGATATCGAGGATATATTAAGTAACATACTATGTTAGCAACTGTGTAAGAAAGGGTAAATAGGAATTCATATATGTGTGTGTGTACATCTGCAAGAAAAACAAAGCATATACTTCAAAATAGGATTTAAATGCAAGTTATCCATAGGTGGTGAGAATGGCAAGACACAGGTAAGAGGATACTCTGAATATAACTTTCAATAAAGCTTTTGATTTTTGAACAATATTAATGATTTGAAATTAAATATAAAAACAAATCACCAATAATTGAGGGRAAAAGTCCATATCCTAAATTACAAAACAACAAATGATATCAAATAGACTGCAAGGAAAAACACGCTTTATCAACTAAAAAGGGCCCAACACTAATGACAACCCAGTATCAATAAGCAGCCCCAGCATCTAGCCCTAGGTTTCTGTATCATCATTCCTCCACAAAAAAGAACCTGAGTTCCTTGGGGAAATGGTAGTTTTAGGTCCAGGACAGGGAAATTACAATATCTTGTTGTGCCAGTTTAAAAGGGTTCCTTCTTGGCCAAATTTGGGCGATTTGAGAATCAAAATAATGCATGGATTTTAATATATTAAGTTTTAAAAGAATGTAAAAGTACATATGGATAATTAGACATTCTGAAAATACTAACCCAATAATCTCTTAAACTACTAAGGTACTATTACAACAGAAAAAATGACTTGTAATCGCTGAAATAAATGTTCAACAAAAGGGAAAGTTGACATGATGTGCTCTCTAATGTAATGCACTGAGGATGTAATATACCCATGTATATTCTTGCCAAATATAATCTGAACATAATTGTAAATAAATTTGGAAAAACCTTTAACACACAAAAGAGGCAATAAAACAGACACAAAAACTATAATAA